AATGAGTCTAGTTATCATCTTATTAACATACTACTTTATAGTATTTGTTTTTTTGTTTTTTTTTTGTATCCTCACCCGAGGACATCTTTCCATTTTTTGTTCAGGCAGAGTGGGAGGGAGAGAGAGGAACAGAGAGAAACATCGATGTGAAAGGAACACATCGAGTGGCTGCCACCCGCACGACTGACCAGGGCCGGGGACAAACTGCAACCGAGGTACATGCCCTTAGCGGGAACCAAACCCGGGTCTCTCCGGACCGCAGGCGGACGCTCTAACCGCTGAGCCAAACCAGCCAGGGCTAGTATTTGTTTTTATACCTCTTAAATGTTGAGCATGTCAAGAAATAACATTTTATTGAAGAAAAAGAAGGAAGAGGAGCAGAAGAAGGAGGAACAGCAGAGAAGGAGAAAAAGAAGAGGAGGAAGGATCTTTATTTTGGAAATAAAGAGAAAAAAGCGATGTTTCCCACGGGTTCACATTTTTCACATTTTGGAATTCTTTCCCTCTGGTAGGAAATCTTTTTTTGGACGAGCAGCAGATTTCAAAAGAGAGAAACACCGCTGCCTCCCCGTTCCTTGGGGGACCTGCTTTCCTGCTCCTGCTAAGCCTGCGAACATCCTCAGCCCATCTTTATTGACTCGACATGTTCCATCCAAGTAGGCATCCCTTCTTTTTCTGCATTTGCATATCTCCAGGGAGCCCTGTGCGGAACCCACACATCCTCTGCTCTAAGACCGACAGCTCCACACTCAGGGACGGAGGAGGGGCCGTGACTAACCCGGGAAACCCTCGGGGCAAACCCGGGGGTCTGTGGGGAAGAGGCAAGTGCTTGGAAACCTCTTTCAGACACGAAGACAGTGTTTGGCCTTGATTCTCATACTCATCAGAAAGGGCCTGTAATTAAATGACTGCAAACGGGAGTTGTGAACATTAGGGAATTGGGTCTCATCGGCTGCAAACGTTAGGACTTGGCAGAAATGTCCACAGAGAGGTGAAACCGCACAGGGGGAGGCACGCAGCATCCGGGCGCCGCGTTCCGGAGAGAGTGGTTTTGTTCTGCACCGCTCAGCTTGAATGAGGTGACAGGCTCAGGCACCAAGTGACCTGCTTACAACGCGGAGGGGAAAGTTCTGGACGTGAGCAAGAGGGAGGGGGTCCTTCCCAAGGACTGGCCACTCTCCTCCCATGTCCCTTCAAATCATGTCCCTGTTTAGAAATATTCATGAAGAAATTCCTTGTCTCTATTTTAAAATGTAACATAGAAATCAAATCTATGGATCACAGAAAACAAAAAAACAATATACACTTCAAAATCAATTGTGGGGAGCCCTGACTGGTGTCGCTCAGTGGTTAGAGCTCAGCCTGTGTACCAAGGGTCCTGGGTTGGATTTCTCATCAAGGGTATATACCTGGGTTGCAGGTTCAGATCCCTGGGCCTGGTTGGGGAGCTTGTGGGAGGCAACCAATCAATGACACATCGATGTTTCTTTTTCTCAAGCTCTTTCTCTCTCGCCCTTTCTCCCTTCCATTCCTTCTTTAAAGAAAAAAAATCACTCTGGCTGGTTTGGCCCAGTAGTTAGAGCATCCACCCACAGACTGAAGAGTTGCAGGTTTGATTCTGGTCAAGGACACGTACCTCCATTGAGGTTCAGTCCCGGCTCTGGGTGGGGCTGTGCAGGAGGCAAACAATGATGTGTCTCTCTCACATAGATGTTTCTCTCTTTCTCTCTCTCCCTCTGACTTTGTCTGAAGATAGATGGAAAAATATCCTCGGGTGAGGATTAAAAATTTTTTTTAAATAAATTTTTAAGAAATCAATGGGAAAATATCCTCCAGTGAGGATTAATAACAACAAAAAATAATTGTAGGGAAGTATTTCTAAAGTTAATAACAGATGTCATTTTTTTCACTTTTACTGAATGGGAAATAGAATGAAACCAGGATTCTACAAGACTGACTTTGAAGTTAATATTTGGTATACTTTATTAATTCGGGATTCAAAAGAAGAGAAACACAGCTGCCTACCCGTTCCTTGGGTGATATTTTACTTGTGATAATTTAATTTTTGTAACCCTATTAGAAATGTTAAAGAAATAATTTGGGGTCATGGGAGTTTGTTTTTTACTAGGTCCGGGTTTAGTAAGGAAAGATTTTCTTTGATGAGTAGATCAATGAGAGATTATTTTTAGATAAAATCTTTTTTATTCTAGAAATAGCGTTATTTAAACATGTGAGCAAGTTCAAGAAAATATAGTTTCTTTATTTTCCTGTTGAATGGTATGATTTTCTTTAAGACCTCCGTCTACTGGGTGGACAGGAGGTGGGTGGGGGGGATTGCTAGAGCTGCCTTCACAAAATATGACAAGCTTGCTAGCTTACACCTCAGAAATTCCTTTCTTGCAGTTCCGGAGGCTGGAGGTCCGAGATCAAGGCGTTGGCAGGTTTGGTTTCCCCTGAGGCTCTCTCGTTGGCTTCCCGACGGTGCCTTCTCCCTGGTCCCCACGTGTCCTTCCTCTGCGCACACCTCCGCCCAGGTGTCTGTGTGTCCAAAGCCCTTTTCCTACGCAGACTCCAGCCGGACCGGATGAGGGCCACCCGAAAAGCCTCATTTTAACTGAATCACCTTTAAAGACGGTCTCTCCGGGTACAGTTATATTCTGAGGTACCAGGGGTCAGAGCTTCAACATAGAAAATTTGGGAGGACACAGTTCAGCCCACAATAGGAGAAATACCTCTGCTTTTATCCAATTTACTCTAATCCAATAATGTAAACAGCTCCTTTAGACGAATGCTGAGGCCTTGGGACTCGCTCACCTCTCTCTGCTGCTCTCCACAGTGGCCGCGGGGGTTCCTGGGGGTTTGTGTTTTATAAGACTCTGCAAGCGGAGGGTGGCCGTGCTGTGTGTCTGCCGGGTCCTCGCTGGTTTCTCTGCAGAGGGCCTGCCTGGGTCTCCTCCCTGGTCCAGTGATGGGCTGAGGTGTGCCAGACCTCATCTTGGCCATGGTCATCTTCTGATTCCTCCAGCTGACAGCTGTGGTCCTGGTATCCCTGGTCTCGGAAACCCTCCCTGTGCTGGCCCCAGGCCTCTGCTGGTCCACCTGCCTCAGGAGGTCCACATGGTCTCTTCCAGGCACACAGGACAGTCTCATTTCCCTGCCTGGGGAACCGGAAGGGGTGACTCAGGCTCATCTAGCCCCAGGTTCTCACTGGTCCTCTTACCACCACCTCTACAGGGCCATGTTCGATGGCACCTAACCTACAAACCTACATTTCTGCTAGAGATGTTCCCATGAAAGCAAGTCACTAGCCCTGTTGTTCTCTGCCTTCCCCAAATGTAGTTTGGGGTTCTCTCCCCCTTCTCTTACACACACACACACACACACACACACACACACGATTACCTTCAGGGAGCAAGAGTTAGAAATCTTTGTTTTGACTTCTTTGCTTCTCCTTTTTCTCCCTTCTCACACTTGTAAAAACAGGTGGGTTTCAGTCTTTTCCTACTGGTAGTCAAAGGGGAAAAGAGCTTCTTTTTTATTTGTAAGGAAGAGACTATCGTCTGGGCTTGGCTGGTGATACACTAACTCCAGTAAATAAGGGAATTTAGTAATCCTTGATCTCGTGTTCACACATTCTCTCCAGTCTGATAGTCAAGCTGATTGTCTTCTCTCTTTTGGATGCGATTCTCTAAATTGATAGTTAAATCTGAGCAATAACTGGGATTAGCCTTTTCCCCAAAGCTCTGAAATGCAGTTTCAGTGGGTGGGAAGCCAACGGAAATAAAACTGATAGCATATGGAATGATTCCGAAACACATTTCCTTGTGTGTGTTCACCAAGGGGACGGATGTGGAACTGTATCAGGGGGAAGGACATGGGCAGGCGAAGCGTCTGACTCGAGCTAAAGGTTAGTAAGAGGGACCTGCCCAACCTGAGTGGAAAGTAGCACATAAGGACATCTTACCTGGTGTCAGCTTCCTAAGGATTCTTGAGAAGAACGCTTAATTCTGCAATCACATGGCTGAAGGGACCAGTGAGTTCGCTGAGGTCCTCTTTATGTGACCACTAATCCTATTCAGGAGGTCTCTGTCCTTATGTCTTAATTACCTTTCGTAGACCCAACTTTCTAATACCATCATGTTGGGGGGTTAGGATTTCAAAATAGGAATTTGGGGAGGGGGAGGCAGGACACAGCACTGAGTACATAGCAAGAGCCAAAGCAGCAGACACAAGTCTTACTGGCCTTCACAATCTGACATCACATGAAGGTTAGAGACCAGTATGTCTTGTGGCCCAGTGGAAGCCTGCAGTCTGCTGCTGAGTACTTTGTATCAGAAATAACTTCAGTTCTTCTTATCAGCCCCACCCATGAAATTTCACGATGTTTTAAAAGACCTGGGACAATATTGGCATCGGTGGCATCACCCAACCGGGAATCCCCAGTGCTCCCTCTAGACCAAGGACGGATCGGCTAGCAGGGTCCTTGAGATCGCTTCATTCTGTAGCATGGCTCCAGCTATTTTGTAGGAGTCCTCGAGTTACTTTAGTGTGTGCGATAATTCTCTAGGAACAATATGCATTTGATCAGAACACCTCATTCCCCTCTTTCTCCAAACCTCTCCCTCTACAACCAGCATTTGTCAGTGGGCTCAGGCAGCTGTGTTCTTGTTTGATGTCTACACAAGCACTTAGTAAAACAAAAGGAAACCGAGCAAGAACCTTACCCAGCCCAGCTGAGAAAGTACAGACTGATAAACATTACCACGACTCTTAAATGTTTCAAGAGACCAGGTGTCTAACTTTTTTTAAGGTCTCACCTTTATTACTGAACCCATCTACTACTGCAGAAAAAAAAAAACTAACAAAGAAAAAATCCTTCTTTCAATAATCTCCCAATTAAAATGCCCAACCATCCAGACAGTAGTGATCCTCTCAGACATTTAAAGATGCAGGCAACCTGGATACAGCATAAACATGAGCCATCTCTGCTACGTGACTCCTTATAGACCCAGCCTGGTTCTTCTCCAGTGTTTCCTCTTAGACTTGTACCTGATTGTATTACCGGTTTTCATCCGAACCCCTTGGGGAATGGACTGATTCTGCTTTTCTTTCTTGGTCAGGAACCTCTCGATCCCAAAAGTCTTGGGAGATGACATGGCGAAGGAGAGCCACCCGCACGTGCCACTGGTGGAGAAAGGGAGAGAAGGGGAGATGGTCTAATTTCTAAAGACAGAATTTCTATCAGCTCAAAGGTATGAATATTGGAATCAATCATCAAAATTATGGAAATGGAGGGAGAGAATGTTCCAGGAAATGAATCACTGTGGGTGAGAAAGAAGGACACAGGATCAGCGAAAGAACAAGCCATCCCTCACTGACTGAAGTTTGTAGGAGCCAAAGAGCGGAAGGCAGGCCGGCTGTGTCGTTCCACAACCAGGAGACCTTTGTTTAATTAACATTGGTCAGTGCCCTGCATCCCTTTACTTCTGTTCATTTAATCATAGAAATGAAACAGATTACAAATGTTCTGAAGATTATAGGATTTAAAGGACATATTGACCTAGGTGGTGAGCCTCTTAATCAGTGGCTTTCAAACATTTCCACCCTGGCCCAATAAGAAATACAGTGATACCTCGGTTCTCGAACGCCTCGGTTCTCGACCAAATCGGTATTCGACCAGGAGATTCGAGAAACTTTTGTCTTGGAATCCGAACAAATATTTGGAACTCGAACTTCCGAGATGAGCCGAGTTGAGCCGAATGGCGTTCATTCGGCCCAGCGCGCCTTGCTGCGTCATCAGTGTGAGTGCAGAGAGAGAGTCACGCTTTGTGGAGAGAGTCACGCTTTGTGGTTTCATTGCTTCGGTTCTCGAACAATTCGGTTCTCGACCGTCCTCCTGGAACGAATTATGTTCGAGAACCGAGGTATCACTGTATATTTGACATAAAAAACATCTGGTGTTTTCTCTATATCTCTCTAGTAAAGTTTTCATATTACCTTTAGGACAGGCGATGCACACACACTGATCTTTTCTGTATAGTGTGTTTTATTCTATTCCTCCATTTTAAATGTTGTTAGAGACATTACTTCATAATTCACCCATGCACTGCAGTTCACGGCTTGAAGAGCGTGTATTCAATGGCCTGCAATCCGATACGCAATGTCTTGGTTTCTGAGGACACACCTGCTACGCCGTCTCTGCAGAGCTGGGCTACAGTGAAGCTTCCTTCAGCTCACGTCCACAACCAGAGTCCCTGGAACGTGAATTGCACTTCTCAGCTAGGTTTCCAGTGGTTCTCTCCCGTTTCTCAGGTGGTTGTGGTTTCTGCCCCTCCTCCAAATGACCTGGGAAGCCAGTGTTATTGACAAAGCAGGACAGCATTCCCAGAATAACTGCGTCCTCTACTCATCTGCCTTTGGAGTCATTGCCCTCGGATGTTACTGAGCCACCGGTTCGGTACTGGCCTGCAGCTGTGGTTAAAATCAGCCTTAGCTCTGGCCCCAGTCAACCAGACTCACGCCCTTCTGGTCCCACTGCTGACCCTGGCACCCCTGCTCGAGTACCTCTACCTCTACCCTCTCTCGGAGATGGTACTGCAAACCTGGGCTCCGGGGCCACTGGCGTCTGATTCTCTCAGTTTATGCTGGTGTGCAGGAGACCCTTCAACCTGAAGGCTAGTTCCTGACCGTCAGCTGACCAGGACTGTGCTGTTCTAACTGCACAGAAATGGATACGCTGTCCTCAGGAGAAGCTATTCAATGTATGTGTGCATGTGCATGTGTGTGTGTGTGTGCGTGTGTGTGTGCGTGTGTGTGTGTGTGTGTGCGTGTGTGTGCGTGAGCATGTGTGTGTATGTGTGCGTGTGTGTTTGTGTGTGTGTGTGTGTGTGTGTGTGTGCGCGCGCACGCGCATATTTGTGTGGTGGGAGGCAGGGGTCTTCATCCAAAGTGCTGGGGTTGAGACTCATCCCCCTGAGAAATCTTCCTTCTCCATGCCCCAAAGCAGAGCAATGAACACAGACTTCCTCATGGCTTAGGGACCCTCTGTTTCTTCAGAACACCCTCGCCAGTAGTTTCTATGTGGCATTCTCTCTCCTTCCTGGAGGGGGAAGATGCTGAACTAAATGTGAGGGATCTACTAAAAATCCCCCAAACCCTCCTCACAGACCCTGAGCTAAAGAGCATAACATTTGAAACAAATGTGGATCTGGTTACAAAATTGTATTGGAATTGCTACATAAAATTTCACAAAGTCATCTTTCCTTACAATGGCATTGTTGAGAGGTTCCAGTGTACCAATAAACTCTTGGCACAAAGTTAGAGGTTTTGGTACTACACACATGCAAGGGAGTACTTTAGTGTTCTTAGGATACTACCACCTATATAGTGAGTACTCAGAAGGCTACTTATTGATTAAACATAATCAATGTTTAAGAAAACTTTAAGAAATTAGCTTATGGCTTAAACAAAATCTTAACATTGGTGAAATTCTAAAGTTAATCTAACCCACTTACACTGTTATTTGCCTTCCATTTTCCTCGATTAGTTAGGAATGTATTTGGCTGCAAATAACAGAAAATCTGACTGCTGTGGTTTAGGCAAATGAGAACGTATGTTTCTCACACAGGTACGTAGGGCACCTGGAAGTCAGCAGCTGCTGGCTTTGGTTTAGCAGCTCAGGGCTGTCAGAACTGAGGATCGGGTTCCCCCAGACTGTTTTGGCCTTTTCCTCCTGGCTTCAAGGTGACTTCTGCAGTGCTTATCATCACATCTTCACTCAAGGCACAATTAGGGGAGGTGGCCACAAGCCATCCATATCTGTTCCTTCCTATCAAGAAATCAAAAGCTCACTCAAATGCCCCAGCAGGGAATTTCTTCAAGGTCTAAGTTAGAACTGGGTTGTCTGTTAACCTCCAAACAACACTGAAGGTGATTATAAAGGCAGAAAGTGGAGGGTGGATATTAAGTAGGCAGTTGTGAGCGATGGCCAGATTTCTTCAGCCAGTGACTTGAACATCTTTAAGACCAAAGGACAGCCCGTTTCATTTGAGCCAACTCTAGAAAGCTTCTTATTTTAAACCAGAATCCACTTCCCTGTGACTTGTCCCTGTAGCCTCTGGTTCTGCCCCGTGGGGCTATGTAGATGAATTCCAATACTCCTTCTTGGTGCCAGCCATACAGATAGTTGAAGACGACTGTCCCATCTTCTCTAATTCTCCTCTCACCCATATGGAGCACCTCTCTCTGGGTTCCCATGTGACATGACTTCAAGTGTTCACACCTTGCTTTTTGCTCTTCTCTGGGTCTATTTCAGTTTATTGCAATTTCTATTGGACTTTGTTCCCTCATATTACACCATTGGTCGAGAAGTGGCCTGAACAAAGCCAGAGAAGTCCAATGATCCTCTCTGTTGCCCTGGGTTATTACTAAGGCAGATCAAGTTGGCATTATCTTCCATGTACTTCCTGCTGGTGATTCAGCCAAGAAAGGTCATGAATATCATTCATCTCTTCACATTTCTTTTAAAAAATGTTTTATTTTTCTTTATTGATTTTAGAGAGAGAGGAAGGGAGAGGGAGAGAGAGACAGAAACATCAATGAGAGAGAGCATTCATTGGCTGCCTCCTGCATGCCCTCCACTGGAGATTGGGCCCAAAACCTGGGCATGTGCCCTGAACAGGAATCGAACAGGCAACCTCTTGGTGCATGGGTCAACGCTCAACCACTGAGCCACACCAGCCGGGCCCTTCATATTTCTTTACTTATATATTTGATCTAGGGATCCTAGAGCAGAATTTGTATTTATTAGTAGTATATTTTATGGTGTTTGATTTGAGTTGTATTTCTAGTTTATTGAGTTCTTTTCAGATTTCAATTCTACTATACAGGGTATAGAGTATTCCTCCCAGAATCACATTATTTGCAAAAATTTATGCTGTTCTTACCTCCATATAACTCCCCCTTAGGTATTTTCATTTTTAAAAAAGGTCAGGATAAACTCTTTCAATCTGCTGTCAGTGACTTCTTTCTAAAGGGAAGCTGAGCACCATTCAGACAGGGTCCTTTGACACATTAGGAATGCACCTCATGATCATTCCACCCACATTTTACCTTTGTCCTAGGATATTATGAGATCCTATTTCAACCTCTTTGCAAAAATTCTGATCAAGTGGTCAAATAACTTAGAAACCTGGTGGAGTTCATGCAAGAGGACTTTTCCCAATTAACACACACTAGTTGAATCCGTACTAGAGAGCACGAATTCCCCTTTGGAGGTCTTCAAATTAGCCTTTTCATTGTGTGGTGTAGAACTTTTTATGACCATGTTGTCCTTCTTACACTGGATTCTGGAAAACCAGTGCACAATTTGGAGCTAAGTCACAACAACTGCTGTCAAGTTGCACATTAAACCAGGGATTAGCACAAAGGCAAAAATTATGTCTAGTTAAGTTATCTGTGATAACTGAAATGACTCATGAAGTCCAGTGTGCTTGGTGTGCCCTTCAAGGTCTTGCACTATAATCCTTTTCCTTGCCAAAGCTTGACAACCACTGAGTTAGATTAAAGAAAGCTACCAAAGGAAGCCCATCACAGAACATTTGGAACGTTTTATCAAATCCATCTCTAGCAGTGAATGATGGAAGGGTGGAGAAATAAAAAAAAAAATCTATCTGTCATCAGTAAGGTTTAATTTGCATTGCTTTGATATGAACCTTTGGTAAGCTTAACATAGATTAATAGATTTTTGTGTTAGTATAAGGATTAAAAGTTATTATCTATGAAAGTACCTAGTACAGGGTCTGACACCTAGTAGATTTTAATTTATATCTTTCTTTTTTTTTTTTTTTTAGTTTTTTCTTTATTAATTTTAGAGAGAGAGGAAGTGAGAGGGAGAGAGAGATAGAAACATTGATGAGAGAGAACATCGATTAGCTGCCTCTAGCATGCCCCCCACTGGGGATCAGGCCCACAACCTGGGCATGTGCCCTGACCAGGAATCGAACCAGCGACCTCTTAGTGCATGGGTTGATGCTCAACCACTGAACCACCACCAGCGGGCTATATCTCTTTAAATTAAATGTATATACACAGTTCTTTGAAAAGTTGGAGAAAAGATTTTGGCCACTGATATCTTATTTTTCCAAAACAGTTCTTC